AAAAAAAACAAAACTATGGGGAAATAAACAGCCTGTCAGTTCTGAAAGACAAAGACCCAGTATATTTATTACCATATGTTACAAATTATTTTAATATTTTATTATTATTTACCTTTCCAGCTATAGTATCTTAAAGCCAAGCTGGGAAAATCACATTTATTTATTAATTTGATTACTAAGAAATCCTGGGCCCTATTTAATTAGACCTTCTGATATATTCAGCTTGGAGATCTATATTTTCCTCCCATACAGCTTATTTTGTCTTCTTTTTAACTAAGCCAAAATTCTTCTATAGTAGCAGAATCCCTGGGTAGTGTCTTTTCTGAAGGTGTTATATCTTCCAAGAGTTATGACAGCTTGAAGAGTCAGTACTGCTTTCAGTTTCACACCACTTTTCCATCAATTTTAAGGCAAAGAAGAACCACAACAGCCTCTAACCTGTATTAAAATTTACTAAATTTGGTATCAAGGTTCTTGTCTGATAAACCCATGACTTCCAAATTAATTTTCCCTTGAAAGAAACTTTTCCAGTCCATATAATTCTGTAATTTCCAGTTACTTTCCATTGTAGACTAACTGCTCATGGGACAATACCTTCTAGGCCCGCACTGGCAGACAGCCTTATTGCAAACATCTGTGCCACATATTATAATGATACCACAAGAATTACAGACACATATGGAGCTTCTTAAGCATGTTAAGCTCTACAGGCTTGTGCTGATCACCCAGACAATAGAGGTTATAGCCAAGTATCTCAAAGAGCAAGTTGTTAAAACACATCCCCTCTTTTCTTTTCCATCTCTGCAGCTATGTTGTATCAAGAAAAGATAAAATTCTTTGCAGTCACAGATAACCAGTGAAGGGAGACTTCAGCACTTTCTAACTACCTGCTATCATTTCTAGCATCAATGAATACATCTGATTTCCCATTCTTTCTGGTTTCTAGCATTCCCGTAACTGAAGAATACCTGCAGTTACTTTACATCTCATAAAAGCAAAACTATCACCTTGTGAGGAGGGGAGGTTAAGTGTGTGTTTATTTTTTCTTCTTCAGCCGTGTTCTCCCATGTGTTACCTTACTTCTCCCACCATAAATTCACAACCTATACCTATCCTGGTGTGAGGAGTTGCCTCCTGTGCAGCAAGAGCAGTTTTACTTCTGACCTTTCCTCCTGTGACTACAATCAAAACATAGATCGGCTTCAGTAATATCTTAACCACACATTTACAGCCTGGGAAGTACTTATCAGTGCAGTAAATTGAGGGCAGCAACTGGCAAAACAATAAAGGCAGGAAGAGGCTTTAAGTAATGGGAAGCTGGATGTCTGAGATGGAGCAAGACTGAGTTAAAAGGACGGGGGCAGGACAGAGTTTTGGCTCCTTTTGCTCGTTTGGCTGTTAAAGCAGATTTCTAATGGCACTGTTCTTCGTTTTCCCTTTGATGAATGGTTCACATGTAACTGCTTTTTGCCTACAAAAGTGCTAATAGGTCTCAGACAAGGAGAGAGACTGGACCAGTTGCTAATGGCCAGTAATCCTTCTCACTCCGTGGTGGCATCTTCCCATTCATTTGAGAGCAGTTGCTCTTTAAAGAGGATGCAGATTAAAACGGTACACTAGAAAACACTGACAGACACACATGCCAGCAGACAGACCTGCTGCGTGATCCTAGGAACTCATGCAAATTGCTGTCTACTGCACATCACATGAACCAGGGATGCCTGACTTGCCTTGTGCAGTGTACGGTTTTGCATCTGAAGTCACTGATGACCCACAACTCACATGCAAGCAGGCGTGCAGAAAGGCTGGTAGAGTAAAAACACAGCTTGGAGGTGAGGAGAGATCCAGCAACTTTCTTTGTGAAATTCTGTCAGCAGATGCTGGACATCAAAATAATAAACAGTTCCTCGCATCTGATTATTTTATATGAGTTTCCCTTGGGAAGATGGGTAAAACAATGACAGCTTCAGTTTCTTAACGATGAAAATATTTTAACACAGGGGGCATACACTGTATCTTAAGTCAGTTCAGAGGCTTTTAAAAGAGTAAGCCTCCAACAGAGAAGGACGTGGAAGAGATTATTTGCTTTTTGTAGTGTGTCTAACTAGATTTTGTACTTTAATTTAGAGGTAAAATAGCAACTGTCAGTCAGCTGACTAAACCTTGTTTTCTTACTAAGCAATCTACTAAGAAACACACACTGGTTAGTACAATCATATGAAGACACACAGCAAACCTCTAAAGCTGTTTACAATATAAGAAGAAGTCTACAGAGTACAGGATATGAAAACAGCGTCATCACAGTCGGTTCCTATATCCAAGCTTTTGGAACAGAGTGAGTTTTATTAATAACCATGTACTTTCTGAACAATAAGACAATTTTCAGCCAACAAGTTAAATGCCTTCTTTAAAAACAGAGTAATGGCAACACAGAAATTTCTCATCAAAAGACTTGAAATAAGCTCATCTGAAGAGGGTGCTATATAAAAAAAAAAATACACATAACAGCAAGACAATTAGAAAAAGAGGAAGGAGCAATGTAAAAAAAAATCTATCTCAAAAAAAAAATAGGAAGAGCATCTCACAGCCCCTGCCTTAATAAGTAATACATTAAACAAGTAACTTTGATCCCGAGTTTGCTAATATTATTTTGGTAGTTAAAAATTTCTTATATGAAAGAATATTTAACACAGGATTGCAGCTACACAAATAGCCCACTTCCACAGTCACAGAACACATTGCTACAACAGGACTTCAGAGAAACAAATCTTACCAAAGCCCACTGGCTAAGTTTACAATGATCATGTCTCGTGATGCAATACACTCTAAAGCTCGTGTATTTGTAATGCAATCGGTATTTTCTACCTAAAAGAGTAAGATCTGTGGAAACCCCCAAAATACATACTTTGAAGAGGTGCTACGCCAAAGATGCACCATTATTTGGAAAGCAACAAGAGAAGTTGCTGCAGCTGTAACAGCTGAGAATTACATACTTGACCAACTATCTTTCTGGCTGTGGAGATAAAGACCCTTCAGCTAATTGGTGGCATAACACCTTTGCAGTGGCTGGTTTAGGCCATCCCAAATACCTGTTGCCCTCATGAGTAACCTAGGAGACACTTATTAAATTCATCCAAGCCTGTTTGCTTTGTGTTTATAGAGGAAAATCCTTAGCATATATTTATCAAATTTAAGGAGTTTATCAGAATTTCCTGATCATAACTCCAATAATGATTAAAAAGAAGGAAAAAAAATAAATCCTGTGGCTATGTGGCAAAGCTAATAGTAAGTGAAAAAAGTGGTCAAGTAAGGGGAGGAAATTAAAGGGAGTGAGGTGTGAGGAAGGTGAGATAGAGGCTTAGGGACTTGTTTTCCCTCCCTCAGTATTTAGCATTGAAAGACTGACTGCTATTGCAGCCAGGTTTTCAAAATAGCTCTCTCCTTTTCAAGCTTACTTTCAGACACAAATTATATTATAAAAGCACTAGTATACCAGATAACCATGCCCAAGTCAGAGTTTACACCAGTTTCGGAATCAAGTTAAATCAGTGCACGAATTCCAAAAGGAGCAGATTTTGAAACACAGACATAAAGCAAATTGCAAAAGAGCCTTTATTTAAGTTATATTAATCTGAAACCCACTTCTCTTATTTTGGTTCTACAATGTGAGCTGAGATCTAAATCCAGAAGAAGGATTAAGCACCCAAATCCTGGCTCCCTTTCACCTCCAGGGCCTGACTCCAGAGGTGGGATTCTCAGCCTAGTCTCTTACTTCTCACCCCACCCCAGAAGGTGACTGCCTAGAGCTTTTAACCTCTCTCTGCATTTTAAATATTAAAGTCTCCAAATGCCCAACAATGGGTTTGAGAATCCCATCACAGTCAGCAATGCCAAGAAGCTGTGTTAAGCATCTGCTTGTCACACCTATCACATCACTCCTATACTAGGTAGGGGCAGCTCTGGTGCGAAGCTCTTTATCCGAGACCTTTGAATGCTCCTTAAAGCTGTGATAGGCGCAGGAGCAATTCTTCCCATTAGCAGAAGGATTGCAAATCTCCCACTGTCTTGGCTGAGACTACAGGGTATATTTACCAGTCCCAGAACATCAATGAAATTCCACATTAAATGAAATAATGAAGGTTTTTTGGGCTACAGGGAGAAAGCAAGCAAGAGCATGACTGTATAATTTAAGGAGAAGAGTACTCACTTAAGAAGAAGTTGGGGGGGGGGGGGGGGGGGGGAAGTGAATTCCAGTTCCTGCTCCAATGCCTTCTTAAAAATGCACACAGGCATTAGGGCAGGGCTTGGAAACCAAGAGTTTTAGGAAGGGTGGCAGCTGTTCCAGGAAGTATGTGTTCATGAATTTGGTAAAGCAGAGCATGAGTAAGCAAGCTAAAGTAGGCAAGACATCTTTAGCAGTGGAGGTTATTATTAGTCTTTTAATAAGGAGGCTATTTCATGAACGGTGTGATAAGGCTGGAATGTCATGGCTGTTCTGATTCAGATGACAAAAATCACTATATATCCAGACAGTAAGTTGACTAAAGACCTAGTTCAGCAAAGATCTTCTGATGTAATTTTCCCCACCAGTAATAAATTACATATTTGCATACACTGTATTTTTGCTTCCCACTAGCAACAACAGAAATTTCCAAACAAGCTCTGGGTTCAAACACTGGGTCACTGCAAAACAATCAGAACTTACAAAGCATGCCATATGAGCCAGCACCAAGGTTATGAATTGGGTGGACCTAAGTGAATTACAGGTTGTGAATGGAAATCTATTTGTAATAATGCTACTTCAGATTCAGGAAATTCAATTTGGTGAGACCAGAGTTTAAGCCGGACAAGGGTTATGCCTCTTTAAAGAACATGACAAAGAACATACACAACTTTGGGTTATGTGTTAAAGGCAGACTCATCAAGAAGTTTAGCAAGCATACAAATACATTCTATATAAGTCATGTTCAATCTATTTGACTGTATCATGCATGACTTACCTAAATATTAGCCTCTAAGACTGATTTCTACATTGAAAACCATATACCTGTTTCAGTCATGGGGAGAAAAATATACTTCAAAAGGAATGGAAAATCCTTGCTCATCTTGGAGATCCTGTTCCTGCACACACTTTCCACACTCCAGACTCTTCAGCACAAGCTCACTGCTACTCTGAGTGGAACATCTGTTTACACAGCAGGGGTTGAAAAGAGGCAGTTTTAACAGTAGCAGAAGGAGTTGTATATCGAAATGTACTGTTATAACATGTAGTATCAATATATATTAGCTACTGTTATATTAAACTTGGTATGACTTTTGTGGTAGCCCAAAGCAGATACACCGTTGAATCACTAATATTAAATTTGTGTTTATTTATGATGATATAGTTATTTTCTGTTTGCAAGAACTGAATATATCAAGTATCTGAACAAGAATAGCTCAGGTTTCACTAATTTTGCACAGATTATTATGCCTGGCAGGATTTTGAGATGTTGAAGCCTTCTCCCGTTGCCTGAGAAACTCCAGATCACTACTAAAGAAAATATGCATAAATCACAGGTTGGAGAGTACAATGTACAGACAGTCAAACCATTTCACCATTTGAATATGGTCAGAGGACACTGCAGCAAGAGGAGCAGTTTTTCAGAGAAGTGAGACAGCAGATGGCCACCAAAATAACAAGAGTAATTCCCAAGGGTAATTGTATTTTCTGCTGAGCTGTAAACATCAGTCGTGTGGGTATTTCCACATGCCACACTTTGATCCTGACCCCACAAACACTTAGAGAGAGGTAAGCTGAATTTTCCGATGGGACCACTCATGAGTTCAGCTCAGCAAGTAACTATGTGTTTGCAGGATTAGCCTTTGCATCTAAACTGGACTCACCAAGTCTGTGTTCTATTGAATTTGCCAGTGCTTGTTGCTGATACTCTTTTACCTTCAGTACAAGAGAAAAGTTCTTCCCTGTCCCAGTGCTTCTAGTCTTGTCTTCAGGTGGTTTTTAGATATACCAATAAGAAAACCTATTAATAAAAAAGTACTACTGCACTGGCTATTGACATTGAATAGACAAAAACACAGACAAAAGCAATGAACAGCAAAAATCAGAAGACCTGAGAATTTGTTTCATCTTTTTTATTCAAACACTTGGGTCTAAGACATTGCCATTCCTGACTTAAAAGAAAGAGCAAATGTGAAAACAAGTCTATCAAATTTGCAGTTAAAAGAGATTATAACACAAATACGTTAACAGCAAAATATTCTGTGCAAGTTGTTTAGAGTACCAGTACAAACGTTCTGCAGCCAGGCCTGGACAGATTAGGGAAGAAAGAACCACCTAAGTTCCACTCCAATATTTTTAAAAGTAGTTTCCTCCCTTTATTCAGGAACATCCTGGAAGTGGCTCCTCTGTATTATGGCATTTTCAACTAAAGGCAGGGGCTGGCAAAACTGCAACTACTTTTCAGCTAGATGTTTTGCTACAGAGAAGAAATATGCCCATTCAGAGAACTGTAAGTCTGCCCTGATCATTTCCTTAGAGTAAATGAAAAGGATTTAACAGGAACCTTACATGGCTCTCCAGTGATATGAGTATGCACTGAACTTCTGCAGAGGGACAGCAATGGTCACACTGTTATTGAATCTCTTTGACTATGTAATAAAAAATTCCAGGATGAACAGTTTCTCTTAGGTGATGGACTTTCTGGTGATGTATCGCTGAGAAATGCAAGGGCTGAGTACTTCCCCAAACAAAGCATGCTGAAATTTAATTAAGGTACCTCATGTCTATGCAGACTTGCCTTGACTTACACGAACATAAAGAGGGGAATATTCCAAAAGCTGACCACTTGAGGGACTGTGGAAGGGATAGGGAAGGAGAAGGTACAACAGGAATGGTCTGAACTCCTATCTATTTTCTAGTGGATTTGGGGTTTTACTTGGGTTCAAAGCCTGGTCCTTCAACAGTCCTTTTCATCTGACTGAGTAGTTTGCTTAACAGAGAAGATGTATCACAAACATAAAATGCCTGGTTACAAGCATATTGTGTCATTGTCTTACCAAAAATAAATTCCTACAATTCTGAAGAAAAGGAAAGTTATTCTGGGACCAGAATAAAAAAGCAATAGTGGACCAGCTATTCTGCCTGCCCCACATGGGACAGACACCTAGACAGGACTGAGGGGCCCCCTTGCAGCCAAGCTTCCCAGGGGATTTGAGGCTCCTGAGCACAAAGCCAGGCACCTCAGGGCCCCATATGCCTGCTCCATTCATGGTGTCGTGTGCCATCAGCGTGGGAGGGCTGCAATGTAATCACAGCCTCATAGTACTTCAGCTCTTGGTTCAAAGGCAGTCTACCCTCAAAGACATGGACAGGCAGGAAGCCAGGGAGACTTCTGGTTTTGTGAACAACTGAAACTGATTTGACATTTTCCTAAAAAATTTCCAGTTAACTGTCAAAGCCATAAACTATGGTTCAAAAGAAAAATAAAAATCTTCAGGGAGAAATAAAGTTTCTCTTTCTTACACGAGAAGTCTTTGCAAAAGGATTATGCTCTCCATCTTTAAAGGAGGGACCAAATGATCCACTAAGCCTGCTGGTGTTTGCTCTTGGTCCTGTTCTGAAATTCAGGCTTTTTGACTTGATATACACCTTCCCCAACAGGGTCCAGCAATCTTTACTTCTGCTCCGCTTTAACCTTCCTCAAAGCATCTGGCAGCCCTCAGTCTCATCATATATCAAGCTCTATCACCCATTCGTTTGTTCTGATTCCTCCTAAGTCTTCCTCCAAAACCCTTAATTCACCTCTACATAAATAATTGATCAAAAGTTCATTCATATATACATTGTATTCCAATTCTTGTGTTTCAAACCAAAACTTACGACCATAACAGTCCAAAATTATCAGATGGGGGAAATCAGTCATTCATAAAACAGAAACATAAAAAATGCAAGTATCCAAAAAGAGATTCAATTAAAAACTTAGACATATTTAGGAGACTCAGCCCCAGTTTTTAGAGAGGATTCTTTCAATCTTCACCATCTAATTATGTCTTCTTATCCAGAATGACTTAATTATATCTTAATCAGTCTTCACTTAATCATATCTTCACTGTCTTACTCTATTTCTCTGCTTCTTTTTTCTTTCAAAAAAATTTTGCATTCACCCCCAGAAAAGTAACCAGCCATAAGCAACATTCTTCAGATTGTTTTGAGGGGGCTACCTCTGTTAATTCCTTACGTGTGTATTTTTAGGACAAATACCGAAATTGCTCTATACTCAAATTGCATCATTACCTATTGACTAGCTCTACAGAGAAAGGAAAATACATTCATCATAAACAACCTCTTCACTCCATCATCTGAGTAAATAAGCACCATTTTCCCTCCCTGGAAAAAACCACCATACCTGTGTTATTCCCGCAAGGGCAAAACCAATGTTGCTGTTAATCACAGGTCAGAAAAATACAGGCATTCTGAGCATGAATGACTGCTTATCAATGAACTGACAAAAAATATGCCTCATCCTTAAGTGTTTTTACGAAAGGTCTAGGATGAAAATAGGAAAAGAGTGGCAGTTTAGAGTTAAAAAAAGCCAACAACGTACCACCAAACCAAAAACAGGGAAAATCACTTACTGTATTTGGTTCTGCAGAGGTATTCAACACAAACATCACCCTTCCTTGTCCAGCTGCCAAGTGCTAAAGCATGAAATGAGCAGCTGTTTCCTTCAAGCTGGGGCTGTGTGTCTTAACTAGTCACATGCCCCTCCTGATAAATCTCACTGCCGTGCCAGGAGGTCAGAATCTGAAGATCATTATTCCCCTTATTAGAAAATCCTTTTCATAACAGCAGCCTTTGCTAAAGCATTTGACTGGAACATGGTGCTATGTGCTCCATAACTCAGGGTTGTTTTTTTTAATGACTAACACCAAACAGTAGATAAGCCTTAATCGACAGTAGGGGCAGCACAAATGGAAAGTTAAACACCTACCCTTTGATCTCTTCAGGTTTGTTTCTAACTTCACAATTTGCTGTATTTAAATTTAAAACATCAGGAACAGGACAATTTAGAACTCTGTGATGGTCAGGCCACTCCACAGATCATGCAAAATATGTGAACAATCCCACTTTCAGGGATTAGCTGTACTTAAGGGGCAACATCACTACCTGTTGTGTTTGGATAGTAGAGTGATGAGTGCATTATTAATACTGGAGGTCATTTTAATTTTGGTAGCTAGCATTTTTACATCATGGATTATGGGGTTGCATTGTGCCAGACATTGTCTAGTCAGACTGTGATAACCCTTCTGAGGTGGCGACTATCAGTCTAAACAGAGAGAGCAAAATGGGAAACAAATGCATCTTTATCCCCATGTTCCCAGATGTAGGACAAACGAAGGAGAAACACTGAAGTCACAAAATGAACAGATTCTGATGGAATTTTCTAGGGTGATAGTAGCCTTACATTACTGAAAGGCAGCTGAGACTCTGAACTTAATTCCCTTTAGCGTGGCTACATATTTAAACATATTTAGATATTTAAGGACAAAGGCATGCTACCAATGGGATTTTGAGGGTGAGATGTCATTTTCTGAAACGCATATAGGTTATACTGTGCTGAAACTCCAGTGGTACTTTATGCTGAAAAGACAGGACACTGGCAATTGCCATACCTCAGTATAAGATGTAATGGTATTTTATTGTTTGGTAAGCAACCCAGATCCTGCAAGACTGCATGGTCTCATTGGGTTATAATACAGGGCATTTTTCAGGGATTGCAAGGGATTGCTCAGAGACAGATGCCTGTTGTTAAAATTTTAAATTGTAACAGCGTATCTAGCTGGCACGTTGGTCAGCAACTGATGAAAGCCTTGCAAACCACTGCGGGCGAGGGCTGCAGCAAAGAAGGGGAACTCAGATCGCTTCTTTTGACCTTACCCAGCTCTTCATGTTATATAAACTCGCGCATGGTTACAAAACCAGTCCACCATCAGCGCTGCCAGCAACGCCTGGAGCAGGGAAGAAGCCCTTGTGCTGATTACCCACGACTCTGTGAGTCTCTTCTGGGTAACTGCTGAGTTCCCCAGACAAGCTTTCACAGCAGAAACCTCCCGCATCACACGGACACTCCTAACCCAGCCAGACGTGGGTGTACCCAGCCCACTGGAGGTGAAGGTGCCCAAACCCCGACCTTTCCCCGGTGACACAGCAGGGTTGGGTGCCTTGTTTGTCCTCGCCTGCCCCCTGGTCACCTACGGCAACAAGTGTGCGGGAAGGGAGCTTCAGTTCTGGCTCAGGTCCGGTGAGGCCGCACCCGGCAGAGGAGCAGAGCCGCGCCCCGCCGGCCGTTAGGGCCGTTAGGACCCTCACAGAGGGGCCCGCGGCGCCCTCGCCGGCGGCCCGTCCGGTTGAATTCGCTCTTTCGGCCAGACGTTTCTGAAGGCAGAAGCACACCAGCCGCCAAAAGGGGTACCCGGCGGTGGCCCGGCGGCCCCACAGCAGCCCCCAGCGGCCCGAGGTCCCCCTGCAGCTGCCTCACCTCGCAGGCACGAGGTGCGCGCGGTATGATGCCAGGCCTCTGTTGTGAGCTGGGTAAAGGGGTAAGTGCAGCGCAAGGAGGATCGCTTCTGGAACAGTAGGTTAACTGGTAGGCAAACAGCAAATGTTAGCCTAGATGTTCAAGGCCAAGTAGCAGGGAGCTGTGAGCAAGCTGGTCTAGCAGAAGGTGTCCCTGCCTGTGGCAAGGGGTTGGAACTGGATGAGTTTTAAGGTCCCTTCCAACCCAAACCTTCTACAATTCTGTGTGCAGCACTGTTGCGTCCCAGTGTGCTTGGCAGCATGTCAATAAGTTGCTCCTCCTGGCTTTCCTGGGAAGCTAAAATGAGGAGGCCTCCTCAAGCTTCCTTGGGAACTTTCATCAGGCCTCCAAAGAGAGTGTCCCAGTGCATGGGGCTCTGTGACCCTGTGGCCTTCTGAGCTGCTGAGGAGGCTTTAAAAGAGGCATAGAGGAGATGATTGTAAAAATTAGGAATTTAAAAAAGGGAAAAAAGCCCATGAGGAATGAGTTTGTTTACGTTTAGAACACTGGAGGGATGATAATTTCAAAGAGGGACTGAGAGCTGCCACTGCCGAACTGAGTTGGAAGCTCCTGCAGCCCTTGGCCACGGATGGCTGCTCACCGGGCTTTGCTTGGAGGAAGAAGAGAACGCTCACTGTGCTTTAGGGCATGGTCCATTGACCAAATGAGTTACCTTTGATAGATACCCCTTTAGGGAGAATTTCATTCTCCCTAAAAAGCATTTTCATTTGAGATCAAAGGTAACACAACTTTATACGCAACTTAAAAAATAATCTTGAATTTCTTTACAAACTTTTTTGAAAAATTACTCTCTGCTGATACTGAAGGAAACATGATTCTATGGTTCTTTGATCAAAATGTGATCCGCAATAGTATACCAGTCCACAAATGCTGTTAATAGTACTTCGTCTATTTCTCTGATTATGCAATATCAATTGCACTCTTTTACATTTTTCAAGACCCTTTTGATTAAATGCTGGTAGTACCTGGGCTATTTCAAGTAGCACACAGAACAGAGTCATCACTCTGCACTGAATAGCTGCCTATTTTTATTTGGTAGTCATGCTCCACGTGGGAACATAACTTGACGATAATGACTGAATGGCAATATTCCACAAACAACTTGGGATACTTTCCCAAAAGGAGCCTTTGTACTTTCTGAAATGAGTAGACAAATAAATTAATTTTATGGCTCAGTAAAAAATGCCAGAAACTCCTGATTGCGGTTTATGTGGGAAAAAGTTTATCAGTTCCTCATGCTAGATAGATCTAAGTCATAGTGAAACAGAACAGCAAAATAATTTGGGTATGATTCCTGAAAATAAAAGTACCAAAATTTTTTTGCAGGGTTTATTTTTTTCTGTTCTTAACTTTGAGAAATACCAACATACAAAAAAGATAAGGTAGCTAATGCAGACACAATGAATAGAATGTTGTGTTCTTATATCTCTGAGATGTCATCTTCTGTATGACGGAAATTTTGCTGCTGGTTACAGCATGTAACAGTATATTAGCTGTTGAGAAAACCACTCAAGACTGGATTGAAGGAGGTGTATTTTTCTCTGTAGACATTGATGCTTCAAATAAAAATGAAGAAATTAACATAGATTTCTCAGACAGGCTGTGGGAAGTGCTGAACAGGACCAAAAAAAAAAAATTGAGTGCAGTTAGCACTGAATTGTTATAGAATGGGTGAATGTAAGGTTAAAATTTTTATGTCAAGTTTTATGGATAGCTGTTAGAAAAGTTTCAAAGAACTAAATAATTTTGGTTCAGTTTGTGATCAGGGTTGTTTGCTTTTATTGATGCTGGATGAATGGATCAACAGCCTTTCCTTACTGTAGGAGAGGCTTTATTTCATGGCTTGTTTCTAACTATTGTTTCTTTTGTCTTTTTAGACATACTCGGCTATGTTTTGCCATGTGTCATTTAATTAACTCTAGGTGCATCAATATATTAATTGATCACTGATAAAGTGGTTATCTCAAGTATCAATGTTTTGATAGTGTGCAAAATTTTGGAACATGAAGTTACTTTCTGAGTATGGCAATTGTAGATGGCTGTTTTATGGGTTGCCTGAACATTTTTCTGTTTTTTTCTGTTAACATGTTCTTCTGGAGTTTATGTAACAGGAAGGAAGACTCTCAGTGGACATAAATATCAGGTTATACTAACTGCAAGTCTGCGTTATTATGTTTGTTTCCTAAATGGTTGCACTGTGATTTGACTGCAGCTTTTTAGAGTATGTGGCATCCGTAACTAATAAGCAGTTCCTGGTTTGCTGGTCTACTGCACTGCTCCAGATAGATCCTATATAGCCTTCATTGTCAGCAGAAGTGAATGAAAGCAGACCATGGAAGCCCTCACTACACAGGATGTTTTATAAATACCTAGGTGCAATTAAAAAGTCTGCTATAAATAGTCTAACAGCTCTTATACTAAGCTGCCACCTAAAGGGCATCTGAAGGACATAATGGAAAGGAAATTTTGCTGGAAATATTGTAGATAAGTTTCTCAACCTTACATTACATTAAGTCAGCTTTAAACATCTATAGGCTACGTTACATCCCCAGCAATCCTAAAAAGTCCAAAGTGGATTCCAAGTACTTCAGTATAATGCTCTGGGGGGCACAGGAGTACTGCAAATGCAGTGTACCTCCCATTTCATACCCATGGGTACAGCTAGGAGGTATGTTGTGACTAAGAAAGCAAGAGCTGAGAAGTATCATCAAATTAGGTCATCCTTAGATAGGAAATCAGTCCTTTTTTTTTCCTCAGCAATTACATGTCACAGGTGCAGCCTATAGCAATGCCTAGAGTAAAGGTTGCTGGTTGCTTTCAATTGGAAAAAAAGTGCTTTTGAGTGATTTTAAGTACATAAAAATATCATAATTTAAACTGAAATTTGATATGCTGTGTACCTGCCTGAAATTTGGAGTTTGTGAATGAAATTAAAATAGCTGATAGATCCATTCTTAGAAATAATGGAGAGGAAAAAATGTGCTCTGTTAAACATTTCTTCCAAGTGTGACATCAAAAACCAGTAACACTTCTAGGCTCCAAAGTAAAGACTTACCTTTTGATAGATGAGTTACATCATGGCAGGCAGTGGGGGATTGTTTTTCTTGACCCAGTAAACATTCAGCTCAGTTTTAAGTTTCTAACTAATGTTTTCACTTGCTCAGTGGAAATTTGGGTGTTTCTTACTGTGGCTGCTGAATTCTGTGGGGATTAAGTCCCTCTGCCAGTGATCCATGCCCACAGTGCCATGTTCCCAAGGGGCTCCTACCTATCCTACCAGGCATCTTCTCAT